TTTCCAAGTGCCTTATTTTACAAAGAAAATTTGTAGGCATATTCTGTTGGTAGGGCTTTGACCCAGAAATTGAAGGAGCTTATTCCTCGACAAATGTTCAAAGTGCCCATCCAGGTAAAGTTTCTTGGTTCTTCTTGCAATAAGGACATTGTTATAGAGTTATCACATGAATTGCTTGTAGGTATAAAAACTGACGATTTTGACAATTATAAAGAACTCATTACTCAACAATAAATACAATGTATCATGTTTCTCTTTGGCCTTCACATATTTTTTCTCCTATTTGTTCTTGCAAAGTTCTTGTTATTATATAACTGATATTTTCTCTTCTGACACTCTCCTTTATCTAAATATGTAGTCTTGGTTCTAATCTGTTGAACCTAAGGTTTTTAAAGCTTTATCATCACTTCTACATAATAGCAAATTCAATATATTTTGCTGATTATCGTTTTCACTGGTATGATTAACTGCCATTACTGCTGTAACTCCGTTTTTTAAGAGTTGTCCCTATAGGCTATAGGTGATAAATAGCATCCGTATTTGTATTGAAATGTCATGAAAAAAAAAATCTGGCACTCTTTTCAACACTTCAGTTCTGGAGCTTAATCTTGCATTTAATTTCTTAATAGGTTTTTTGCATGTATACCCCTCAAATCTATCATATTTGCAAATTTACGCTCCGCCCCCGCCCCCCCCCCCCCCAATCTAGATATTTTCTAATGTCTTGCAGTGCTCCCACATAAAATAGAAAATTGCTTCTCTAATTTATCATCGTTACTTTTGCTATGAGAGGTTGGGGGTTGGGGGGGGGGTTGGATCTCAAAATACGCCTCTCTCATTGAAACATTTTGCTAATGTGTCTTGCAATGCACCCACATAAAATAAAAAAAATGCTCCTCCGATTTATCACTGTATGTTTTGCAGAGGGATAAAAAAACGTAAAAAAAATACTCTCTCGCCTCTCCACTCCCACTCTAACTGTAGTTGGAACCCAGTTTGTTCCGGATTGCAGGATAGGAACGGGAACATGGTACATCACTAATTAGGAATCAGGTACAAGGGTATAGGCTTATACGATACACTAGGAAACGTGGGAGGTTCTAGGTTAGGTTCTTAAGTGTAGTAATCAAAGGTTTTGCAAGAGTCAAGTTTAAGAAATATGCTAGTTGAGAATCATGTTGCAACTAACATACGCATACTTTATTTGCTCAATTTCTCACGTTTTTTGTTGTATGTGTTTTTGAAAAAGAGTTATTTTTTCAAAATTTGAACTTGTTTGAATTCCAAATCGGGTTGCCCGAGTTGGTAAATCGGGTTGTGTTCCACCGCAAATATGGGACGATTGAACCCAGGTCATGGTTAGCTATAGCGTCCCATGTTCTCGACATCTATGATCCTAAACATATATCCACTTGCATGCATCTGATGGGAGCTCGATCACATGTCGTTCATTGCTAGAAGTATAGAATATCTTGATATTTCTCTCTACTTTTCTTTTCCTTAACTAACCTACCTTTGGCCATCGACAAGAACCCCTCTCTCAACGACGGTGACTTTGTCATTGCTGGTGATCTCTCATTCCCTCTCTCTAATACTAATTAGCAATTTAATTAATTTAGGATAGGTTATTCTTTTTTACATATTTGAATTGTTAAGAGAATTTGATGAAATTTACTTATTAGTATATTCATTTGACATGGACTTTATTCAATGGTGGTAATCCTTCTTATTTGGCAAAATCTGCTCAGGTACAATTTTCTTTTTCCTTCTTTTTAAAGATAAATGGGTTTTTAAATATTAGTCTATAAATCTTACATAATTGCATATTAGTCCCTCAAAATTTGAAAATTGCATATTAGTCCCTCAAATCCTATAGGGCATTGCAGAATGGTCCTTCAAATTAAATCGTGTCAGATTTGAGGGAAATATTCTGTCAAATCTACTGGTTAGAGGTAGACCATTTTACCCCTCTTTTATTCCCCAATTCATTTCTTAATGGGTTATCCAATACGCATTTGAAAAACCCAAACCCACTTGAATTCTTCTCTAATGGTTAGGAAAAAAATCCTAAACCCAAAGTTAAGCTTCACAAGGTTTGAAACATCAGAGAGGGATAGTTTGATAATTACACATGTCGGGTTAGGAGTTAATTCAGTCATGATTAGGTTTTTAACTGAATTACTAAGAAAGTGATCATTTTGCAAGTCCCTAAAGGATTTGAGGGACTAATATGCTATTTCCAAGATTTGAGAGAGTAATATGCAATTATTGAAGATTTAAGGGATGAATATTTAAAATACTAAAATAAATTTATGTGCAACATTATAAGCTAGATAGCGCGGAGACAAGTGCGGATACGGACACAGTTACAGACATGGGACACAGTAAAACCATAAATTATAGGATATAACCGCTATATGTATGTATATAGTATATCAAATATTGTATTAAAATACCTATAACATTTGTAAATTTCTTTCTATTATCTATACGATTAAGAATCAAGTTAAATCAAACTAAGAAAAGATTTAATAATAAAAGTTGGGTTTTGATCGCATGGGATAATACATTGGGTATTTTTCAATTATGTAAGAAACGAATTTTACTTTTCGGGTTCAAAAACCGAATTGTTTTGAACCCAATATTACCGAAAAAGCTAATTTAGGATATAAGTAATAGGAAAATCGGGTTTTGCTTTGAACCACACGTGTCCATAGTGTCCGCAAAGAATCCATGTTCGACATGTGTTGACACTAGATATTGCATCCAAATAGCTGTGTCCGAGTTACCTAAATTAGAGGTAAAGATAAAGATAGTGCATGATACCCTACTTTCTCCCTTAAAACTTTTAAAAATTACCCAC